AAATGTTAGAGTGATTGAATGTGGGGTAATGGGGAGGGGGAGGAATCTCTGTCTCTGTCTCTCTCTGTCTCTATCTCTCTCTGTCTCTGTCTCTCTCTGTCTCTCTCTGTCTCTCTCTCTCTCTCTCTCTCTCTCTCTCTCTCTCTCTCTCTCTCTCTCTCTCTGTCTCTCTCTTTCCCTCCCTCCCTCCTTTCCTCCCCTTCCTCCTTTGTCTTCTCTTTCCTTCTTACTCTTCTATATCTCTTTTCTCAGTCTTTCACCCTCCACATCCCCCCCCCCCTTCAGTGCCTCCACCAATCTCTCCCGAAAGTGGTGGAGTTAGCAAAGAAAAAGTTACTTTATTAGCACTGCGTTAATTAGACATGGCAGGTCCATTACCTCGGGGGACTTTGCTGCGGTTGAGATTACACTTCTGAGAGCTGTTTTCTAACAACTCACTCCTAGCCAAAGAATTGAATGCCAATTTAACGGATCCTACAGGACTCGAGGATCGGAGAGAAGAATAAACTAAACCAGATGAAGAGACTGCGCTGGAAATCCAATTATCAGTCCCTTTGGACATCTCCGCAATCGTTTCTTTTTAAATAAACAAATAAATAAATAAATTGGGTAAAGCTTCCTTGTGTGGAAGGAAGAACGGGAGAGGAAAAGGAGAGTGAAAGTGAATGCTAAGCAAGAGAGTGATATTACATGTCCTGTTACCACACTTTCAGGCGGATAAACCTGTAGTTGTGAATAAAATATATACCATGTTCTGGATTCATCGAGTTGAAGTGGATATTGTTATGAAAGCAACATTTGAGGAGGTTAATCTTGGCTGGTTGGAGTTAAAAAAAAAAAGGCAAATATTTCCGTTTGTGCCCTCCTGCCTTTCTCAGCGTTGGCTGTCAATCCACAAGCTTGTTATCCTTACAAGGCATCAGTTTGTTTGGCTGATCTCAGCAAGGTTTTCTTCTACAAGTAGAACTATAATTGCTATAATTCTACTGTATCATTTGGATCATTGCAGTATTGTTGTTTTCTCTCCCTCTTTCTCTCCTCCTAACACTGCAATAACGCGCTCCAGTGTTAAATTAGCAGGTTGCAGAAGACCATAAATGAATGAAAGTTTGTTTTAAAAAAATAAATAAAACAACAAAATGACTTGGCAAAGGCGATATCACATCACAGAGAATCCTCGCATGTAATCAGGACTCATTGTCTTCCCTTCCAATGCTTCCAAAATTGGTAGTCAGACTCCAATGAAGTTTATTTCTATTGTTTAAATATATGTTTTGAAGAGGTTGATCTTAATTTAGGGGGACCCTACCAGAACGGTGCTGCTTGAAGCCCATTACAGCTTTATTTATCTATGTGTATATTGCACAATATATTAAAACATCTCAGATGAAAGTGTTCAAGGTTAACTCTCTCCCAAACACATTTTTCCAGTATAATGGCACTTAACTGCCGCCACCTTATTCTTCATTTCTTGCCAATATAATTTTGAAATACAATATAAAATTTTAGCTATCGTCATGTAAAGGAAAGATTTTTTTTTTACATTCGCCTCTTCTAGGTAATTATTATTTCCTGTTCTGGTAAAAAACCTCAATAACACAACACCTCAAAAACACAATAAATCACAGATTTCTACTCTTGCTATATTTTGTATATTTTCCAGCTATGATTGCCAGTTTAACTTTGATTATTGATTATAGAAGCAGAGGGAAAAATCCAGAAGTCATGTTCTCAAAGAAAAGGGCAGCACTGGAAAAAAAATAAATCAATAATTACACATCTGAAAGACTTCATATCCTAGGCATCATGAATAACAATGTTTAATCATGTATAACATTCACATTTAAAATGCAATTAATTTGATGAGTGATTAAAAGGCAAGAAAGGACAAAGTGCTTCCCTTTTAAGTTCAGCAAACATCAAATTATGTCAAAGTTAAAAAGTTATTTTTGCTCCTTTCTTATTGTAAGAGACCTAGATTATTATATTGTTGTCTCAAATTATTAATTATTTCTTACTTTGTATTAGTGTTGGGGTTTTTTTAAGTAGATAAAGGATAATACACTTAGAAACCTTAATCACAAATTCCTGTGAGACACTGATTCAATAAGAGTATAGGTTATTTCTCTACTAAATATGTCAGCAAACTTTGTTTCTGGGCTTTTTTTTTTTTAATTGCTATGTCTCTAAAGAATGGCAATAACTGACGAGGGATAAATAGGGAAAGTAAATTGTAGCTTGTTGAAGTTGGTAACTGAATTGTAACAATGATCATTTCAGGGCTGCTGGTTGTAAACTGTGACTGAGGTCAGGCCATTCTCCCTGAGTTAAATGGACTTTCCTCCAGAAATGCATCCTCACTTCAGAATGGCACTTCGGAAACATGATAAGAAAACTGGAGGGGGGGGGGAACAGCAGGAAAAACAAATGGAAAGGATCTTTTAATACACTCTGAAAAGAAAGACTTTGGGTTCTATCACTGGTTCTCTAAAATCTGGTTAAGATTTGTTTACAATGGTCATTAATTAGAAGTCAGAAAATTATATTTTAACTTACTCTTTTAACAATGATTAAAACAGGAACCTATGTTTAATAGAATGTCACAACTTCTCATTGGTAAAAGGGCAGGTATTAAAGGTCTTCTACTTCGAGTGTAGCACTTATTGGAGTCTCCCAAAACAAAGTAAAACGAAAGACTTGTGTTAATTTTTTCCATTATTCTTATTGTCGGTTTTTGTCCTTTTCCTGCATATACTTTGCAGAGACACAAAGTTAAGAAGAGAAACAAACCGGGTCTTGTGGATTTCCAATGCGTAGTTTTGGCTGGAAAATGGAAAGTAAGTAATTTCTAGCAAGAAGCTTGGAAGAAATCTTAAGAGTGTTCTCAAGTGGGTCCCTTGTTCAGAAGAGACACACGTCTTTAGAGTATCTACTTTTGAGACAAGAGGAAGGACTAAGTCAATGTGCATTTTTGTGAGTGGTGATGGTTTTTTACTATATAATAAAACAAACCTATTTAAGCTGAAAAGGAGGAAAATCATTTAAGTTGAGACAGGACAATACAACGTACTAAATTTAAGGTGTTATTAATAATGGCACCATTGGTCTCTTAGAAACAAGAGAAATAAATTGGGGGTGAGGGTGTTTTAAAGTGGAAATGGAGTGGGGAGAAGCTTCACCAGGTGTCCCTCAGTCCCAGAAATGCCTCATACAACCTAACATCTGAGATATCTCGACTTCATAGTCACCCCTCCCCAAACCCCTCCCCATCCAGCAGAAACGGCTAAAAGAGAAGAAAACTAAAAATCTTCGGTGTGAGAGGGAGTGAGTGCCTTGCAACATGCCCCCGGGATTGGTGTTGCAGTTATCGTCACTTCATCCCTCTCAAGTTGTATATTAAATACTTCTGCCAAACCAGCCGAATGTCTATCACCCATTAGCATCTAAAAGAGTTATCCAGATGTTTATTACAGTGAAAATTCCAATTATGAATCCTTGTATTTTTAAATACTGACTGTATGCAATTCAAGTATAACCCTTTGTAAAAAGGCTTCTTCTTTGACACATTGAATGGAGAAAGATGAAAAAGGGGAAAACCCGACATGGATTACCCTTCCCCCAACCCCTCCTAAAACACCTCCCATCCCACCACTCAACCTCCCCCCTTTCCAGCTTAGTGTTTCCCTTTCTCTTTCCTCTGGGCCCTAAACTATGCCGCAGCTGCTGGAAAGTCTGTGGAAGCCCGGCAGGGGCAGAATAAATACGAGGGTTTCGCTATCTAGACTTTACAAATTTAAATCTTGGTTCAGATCTTGATATTGTAGGTGTCGGACACCTCGGCTTTTTTTTTTGGGAGGGGGGTGATGCTGTTAAAGATGTCCCCTAGCCCTAGAGGCTTACCTTTCTTCCTTTCCTGGGACCCTCATCTGTGCCATCAAGTCTTAGAACAGACGGGTCTTCTATTTTAGGCGATAACGATGAGACTGGAAAATAGCCCCCTATTGTTCAGAGCTTAATGAGTCTCTGCTACCCTCCGTGTCCCAAACTAACCTTCCAGGAGAACTCTGTTCAGTGTGGTCTCAGGTTGCTACAATAATATAATTTTGATGCGAGGTGGGGAGCAGAACTTGTGAAGTCGATGAGGGAGGAAAAAAGGAGGGAAATTTGTAGAGACACCTGAAGGAAATCCTACGGACCTAATCTTCGGCCTTTTCTTTTTCCTCCTCTTCACCTGGTTTTGAGCTCCCCGTTTTGTTAGTTACAAAACTTCGTTTTAACAATTTTCCTTCTCCCTACTCCAAATAAGTTAGGAAAACAACAACAAAAATCAGTAAGCAACGTGTGTTTCGTTTTGGGCGGTGAGGATATTACCACTGAAACCTGGAGTTCACGTTGTGTGGATTGTGTGTATGTTGAGACCGACCACAGATTTCAGCCCCTGCCCACTCCTTAGCTTCTCGGCTGGCCATTGTCATCATCAGCATTAACAGAAATAAACATTTTTTTTAATTGTGCACTCCACTGAGTGTCCGACACTGTACAAAATGCTGCATTCAGATACCTTGGCGGCTTTAAGATGCACTGTGTTTGTTATGAGTTCAGCTTTGTTGTGTCATTCCGGTCTCTTGGCCTTCTTCCTATGTATCTCTAGTCTCACGAATCCGCTGAGAGACCGTAGCATCAGAAATGGCTTTCCCAGATAAGGCGTATTAGAGTCATTAGAAGTAGTCTAGAGAGGATGGGGTTGGGGGTGGGAATAACCAGAGCTTCAGATAAGGCCTTCGAGAGTTTATTTTGTTTTGTTTTTAAGAAGAGAGAAGAAAAGAAAGAAAAAAGTTCTAAAGGATAGGGCAATGAACTTTCTATTTGGTGATGGTGGTTGAGGGCTGTCCTCGGGAAATCCATGTCGAGTTTTACTTCTCGCCAGTAGCCTAATGCTGCCCAGCCTCTGGCGAGAACCAATCAGGGGACGACTCCCAGCACGTGGAGGAGAGGGACTCCGGAGCAAAGCAATTGCTGCTCACTACACTTGTTACTGGTGTCCTGAGCACGAAGAGGGGCGAGTGTGGGAGCCGTCGGAGGGGGGATTAAAACAAGCAGCCTAGGGGGTGGGGCGGGGAAAGCAACAGGAAAAAAAAAACCAAACCCCAAAACCAAAAAAAAAAAAAAAGCCAGCCACTTCCCCTACACACACATATCCAGCCAGCCAGCCTTCTGAGAGAGGCAGCAACCTCCCAGCTCGTTACGCAAAGGGGAAAAGCCAAAAACCATGAGCAATCAGTACCAAGAGGAGAACTGCTCTGAGAGGCCTGAATGCAAAAGTAAATCTCCAACTTTGCTCTCCTCCTACTGCATAGACAGCATCCTGGGCAGGCGGAGTCCCTGTAAAATGAGATTGCTAGGAGCTGCTCAGAGCCTGCCTTCTCTGTCCAGCCGGACAGATCAGGATAAGGTCGCGCAAGGTAAGAAACAAATCTTTCAATCCTTCGAACTGCAAATCGCGACAGCCTAAATATCATTCCCGAAGTGAAATTATTGTGGTTTTTTATTTTGTTTTTGGGAAGGAGGAAGGGTTGGGGACAGAGGGAGAGGGACTGAGGAAGAAGAGGAAGATAGATAAGGAAGATAAGGCCTGTAAACTTTGCTGCCTGCACCCACCCTTTCAGGGACCTATATTAAAAAAAAAAAACCGGAAAAAAACCCCCAAAACTCTGACAGGAGATTTCTCTCTCCAGAGCGTAGACAGAGGAACATTTCTGGTTGTTAGTTGAATGTTGCTGCCTTATTAAAGTAATATATCGGTCGTGTTGGAGATTGGTTTTGGTGTGCTGCAGAGAAATGGCAGGTGCTCTCCGGGATCAAATCCTTTAGAGCAACGACTTGGGGAACCTCAAAGCAGCAAAATCTGGGGGTATCTGAAGAAAAACAAACTGGGGCGGGGGATGTCATTCCTCTACCTCAGGCTTCCTTTCCTCACGATCCATTTTTTTCCTTACATATTTCTTAGGGACCTTTTAACTGAAGCACTGCAGAAAATGTCTAACTGGGGTGTCCGAAATTTCATCTTATGGTATTTGAACCACACGAAAAATGCAGCTTTTCGAGGAGTCTCTCTTTCTGTCCTCTAGTCTTCCTCTCTCTCTCTCTCTCTCTCTCTCTCTCTCTCTCTCTCTCTCTCTCTCTCTCTCTCTCTCTCTCTCTCTCTCTCTCTCTCTCCTCTCTTTTTCCAGATGAGGTTCTGCGATTTTCATTCAAACGGTGATTTAAAATGCAGAACAACTATTTTGCAGCAAGTCCTCAAACCTGCTCTACTCAAGTTTGGAAGTGAGGTGAATCTCTAGAGGATAGGAAGAATTCCCCGCAGACTCGCCTTTGACATCTTAAAGCTGGCGGTCAAGCCAGTGCTCCCTTCCTTTGGGGAAAAGGAGACTGACTGGGGCGGGGATGGGGGAAGAAGAGAAAGAGTCGTTTATTTAAAATAAAACTGACTTTCTCCCTTTCTTTTTATAGCTTGTGGCAGCACTTGTGTCAGGCGCTTCCTCGAAGGGAAAGAGCCCTAAGCAGACTATTTGGCAGGCGCATTCCCTGTAACACTCTCCCCACCACACACACCCCATTCTTCCCACTTCTTTTTAAAGGCTTATTGGCTGTTGCGGAATTTTGCTTGTTTCAGTAAGAAAGATTTCGCCCCCCTCCCTCAGGTTGGCTGGGGACGGATCAGGGCTCCCAGAACCTCCAGAGTCTGTCTGCTCCTCCAGCGGCCTCCAGCTGGGGCATCTCCCCTCTCCCCAGCTCAGCGCCAGCCAAGGATTAGCTGCAGTGCCCCACAGCCTCATCCCCTAGCTGTAGAAAAGCGGGGAGCGATGTAATTAGCAAAGTTTTAAGGGATTTTTTTAAAGTTGTTTTGATGCTAGAATGTTTTCTTTTTCCCAAAAAACTTGGGGGGCTGAGAGAATGAATGCACAATGTTCTTTAATAAAGTGGGTGTGTATGTGCGAGGAAAGAGTGAAACTGGGAGTTGAAAGCTATGGGCACCGTGCCAACTGTCCCGTGGCATGTTTTCTAGTGCAACTGGATGAGTAGGGCCTGCCAGCTCCCTCGCCCTCTTCTTTGGATCCCCTACCAACCTACTGGAGGAGGGGGCAAAACCAGGAGACTGTGGTTAAGAATTGCACTAGCCGACTCACAGATCCCCAAACACGATCCCTTCTCTGGCCTTGGTGATTCCAGGGCTTCTTGTCTGATTCCTCTGGGAAAGAAAGTCTTAGTGGAACGGAGTATTCAAGTAGTGGGAGATCCGAGGATTGAGATAGAGGGGAAATGGAACAGACCAGTACCTCAGTTGCCTTTGGGTGACAACTGGTAGCTGTGCATGGGACACTGACATTGACCCACTGTGTACTTCTCTTTCTCTCCCCACCCCATCCTCTTCTTTCCCTGTATGTGTCCCGGCTGTTGGGGTGTCGGCCTTCTGTCGGTCTCTCTCCCTTCTCCTTCCTTGTCCACGCTATTTTTCTCTACCCCTTCCTCCTTCCTTCCTCAGCAGGCTCCCCGAAGGGTAGTAGTCCTCCGTTCGAAGCAGAACTTCACCTGCCCCCCAAGCTGAGGCGCCTCTACGGTCCGGGAGGGGGCCGCCTTTTGCAGGGAGCGGCGGCGGCTGCAGCGGCGGCGGCGGCGGCAGCAGCTGCTGCGGCAGCCGCGGCGGGCCCGCGCGGGGAACCCCAACAGCAGAGGTCTGGAGACAGGCCCGACGGGGCCGGAGCCGGAGCCGGGGTTGGGGCCACCTCCGCCTGGGACACGCTCAAAATCAGTCAAGCGCCACAGGTCAGCATCAGCCGCAGCAAGTCGTACAGGGAGAACGGGGCCCCCTTCGTGCCACCGCCGCCCGCCCTAGACGAGCTGGGGAGCAAGGGAGGCGCCCCGCACCCGGACGACAGGCTGAGCCAAGTAGCTTCGGCCGCCGCCGCCTCCTCCGGTCCCCCAGGTCCGGAGGACGACGAGGAGGAACTGCTGGAGGACGAGGAGGAGGACGATGAAGAAGAAGAGTTGCTGGAGGACGACGAGGAGGAGCTCCTGGAGGACGACGGCAGGGGCCTCCTGAAGGAGCCCAGGCGCTGCGCCGCCGCCACCGCTGCTGCAGCTGCGGCCGCAGCAGCCGCCGCCGCCGCCGCAGAGGGCGGGGAGCTGTCCCCCAAAGAGGAGCTGCTGCTGCACCCTGGCGAGGACGCCGAGGGCAAGGATGGCGAGGACAGTGTGTGCCTGTCCGCGGGCAGTGACTCCGAGGAGGGCCTGCTCAAGAGGAAGCAGCGGCGTTACCGCACTACCTTCACCAGTTATCAACTGGAGGAACTGGAGCGAGCTTTCCAAAAAACCCACTACCCCGACGTTTTCACCAGGTACTGCCATCTCTCCTAGAACTCCCCCCACCCCTTACACACACACACACACACACACACACACACACACACACACACACACACACAAATAGTCGGGCTTAGACGGCCATGAGTGAGAAGATGTCTGAGAGGTAGAGGTACAGATAGACAAGCAGGTAGGCAGGAATAGGAACCTGGACCTACCATTCTCGGCAATATTTACAGTAGTGGTCCTCCCGGGAAAAAGACTAGGCTTAAGATGGAGAGCACCGCAGCCCCTAGAAACCGAGCCCGTGCACTATTTGCAGATGTCTCCCGGCCTTAGCTCCAGGACCTACTTACTGTCCCTGAACTTACCCAAACTCTTGCCTCTTCTCCAGTACCCCTCCACCACCACACGCCCCTGTCCCCTCTCTATAGATTTTACTAACCTCCTTCCCTTCAGTCCCACTGTTATTTCAAAGGGATCAAAGTTTGGTGGGACTATTTTTGCCCTCCCATCACCAAGCCCAATTTCTTTCTCTTTTCTAAATTATTTTGGAAAACTAGCTTGCCTACCCAGACTAGAAAGCGCTCTTCTAACAGACTTGCAAACAAATAGATTCACAAGCGAGCACATACCCAAAGGACTGGTCGAACTTTCCCGTTCTAGACTCAGGCTATATTTGCTGCATACTTCTTTGGCCTAGAGCAGGTAGCGCTGGCTCTGGTGAGGTCTACAAATCATGATCTATTTTCGTCTGCCTTGCTGAACCCCCTTCATATTCACAGATAAGCCTGTGGGATATCAGTTACAGTATTCCCAGTGGACTTTAGAGCCCTAGCCCTACAGAAAAGTCCTTTAAAAAGATCAAAGTATTTTGATTTGAGGATTCCCAAAATATGTGTCCGAGTAAAATTCTGGAGCCATTCGAGGTTTTATATATTTATGCCTGCCTACAGTCTGAATTTGTGTTTAATTAATGTGCTTAACAAAAATTTTTGGATGTGTATGCATGACAAATCATGGGCATTGCATTCCCTTTATGAAGTTGATACGAAATTTTGAATGATGGAAAAATGTATCCAGTTGTGTGTTGAGGATTATGGATCGGAATATTTTGTTGCACTCTGTATCAGTCTTACATTATTATTTTTTTTTAATGTATATTCAAGAGGCAGGGAGAGAAAGTATGCACCGTGCTAATTCAGCTAATCTGGAAAAGTTGATCCCCGATTTGGGAGGTGTGCTGTAGCATCCTTCTTTACCTCAGCCCAAAGCTCAGTTGGTTTATAGCCTGCTTTTACTGGGGGAAAGCCAGGGTCAGGAGGAAATATTACCCAGTTGGAGAGAGAGAGAGAGAGAGAGAGAGAGAGAGAGAGAGAGAGAGAGAGAGAGAGAGAGAGAGAGAGAGAGAGAGAGAGAGAGAGAGAGAGAGAGAGAGAGAGAAGAAGCATACGCAAGGGTGTTGGAGCAGTGCAAACATATTTAGAGAACTACTTGACGAGCTTAAACCAGCTACTTCACAGACGACTTGAGCTTTTTAATTTGAATGTTAAAAGAGAAAAATGACTACTCCTTTAAAGCAGAGAACATACTGTGAATACTTTAGCGTCTAGCATGGCCTTCAAACGATAATTGATCTTGCATTCTAAAATTCTCTCCCAACAGGATGCAGAAAATAGCGGATTTCATAGTGAGAGGATGGCTAAACTTGGCCTTCCCGATCCTCCACCCATCCCCCTCTTTTAGCTTTTTTTTAAAGTTAAAGTTCAAAATCCAATAACCATTATTTCACTGTGACTATGCCATATACTGCAAATGGATACAAGTTAAAAGTGAAAAAGAGAAATGAGGCCGATTGAGTTGGAGTTAGTGTCCACCTTTTTTTTTTTACTTCCCTCAAGAGAAACAGATTGAGGGGAACATTGCCATCTCCCCCATAGTTACTCCTACCCCACCCTTCTCTATTAAAGAGATTCTTTTAATCTAGCTGTAAAAGACTTGATTTAGACAGCTGGATGGAGGGGAAGGGAAGCTCGGAACAGATTTAGCTTCCCCTATGCTGAAGGCTTTGAAAGAAACTTTCAGGTGAGGCCTAGTGACTAGCAAAGAGCAGCATCCCTTAGTCCTGGGTCCCAATGCTCAGCTAGCCCAACTTTTTCATATTATCAGAGGGAGATCCAATTATATTCTAAGCTCTCATATTTTCGGTAAACAGATTATGAGCAGTTTTACAACATCTTAATGGTTTCCTATTTGTCTTAATTGTTGCTGTAATAACTACAATGATGAGGTACAGTTTCATCTAAACTGACTTCTCTGTGATGTGCAGAGTTTATAGTGGGCATTTGAAACAGGAAATGCACAGTATTTTTTAATTGAAAAATTGCCCCCACTGAACCTTTAATAAGCTTAACATAACTCCAGAGGGTAACGGGGATCATGATGTAACAGAAGGGGGAGGAAGGGAGAGGGAAATAGTGAGAGTGCAAAATCCCAAAACCAGGGAGAGACACAAGGAGTAGAGATAGGGGGAGAGAGTGTGACAGAGACACAGACAACGGGTGTGGGGGGTGGGGTGAGAGGGAAGGCTTAAGATAGATGCCCAGCTGCATTTTCTCACTGATTCAGTGATCTAAGTATTAAATTGATTTTATTTTTTACTAGTATTGTGCTCTCTACCAACAAAATGTTAAGAAGGAACATGGTCTAAGAATTTCACATGATCACATGTCTGACTGACAAAGTAAAGAATACTTGTAAGAGGAGGAAAGCACCATCATGTTTTGCCTTATATAAACTTAGAAAGTGCATTAATGATCACATCTAGACTCATCTCTTTAAAGAAAAAAATCCTACACCTAGCAATGTGTGGTTATCATCTATTCTAAAAACTCATTTTAGCAGCAAAAGAGGTTGACTGTGAATTTATGTTTTTGATCTTAAGGTTTTTGCAAATAAACCAAGGCTTTATCTGCAAGGTGTGTTTGCTAACTAATCCCCAGGTATGGGAGCAGTGAAAGACTCTAGCTTAGTGGTACAGTGAGTCCAATGGGTGACTGCATCTCACTACACTGATCTCTGTATTCCCTTTCTCAGGGAAGAGTTGGCCATGAGACTGGATCTGACAGAAGCCCGAGTACAGGTGAGTTCCCTAGGGGCCATCCTCCAGGAATGGGATAAAACTGTATTTGTGGTTAGGATAAGGTATGAAAGAACAGCAAAGGGGGGAGAGAGAGAGAGAGAGAGAGAGAGAGAGAGAGAGAGAGAGAGAGAGAGAGAGAGAGAGGGAGAGAAAGACACAGAGAGAGAGAGAGACAGAGAGACAGAGAGACAGAGAGTAGGAGAAGAGGAAAGAGAAGAGAGGAGTGTTGTCTAGAGGTGCATTTTTCTCCTCCAATGTAGTCTGGACGTCTAGCCATATAGATTAGGACAAAATGTTGTGGGCCCTGTCAAGGGCAACAAAACTTGGTCTCTAAAGGTTGTGCTGAAATCAGGAGTCCAACTTAAAATAAAAACATCTATCCACTACATATGTGTATATATATGTGTGTGTATGTATATGTACACATATATAATACAATTTCTATATAAAATTGAAAGTCATATCATCCTAAAGGGGAAGAGAGAGAGAGAGAGAGAGAGAGAGAGAGAGAGAGAGAGAGAGAGAGAGAGAGAGAGAGAGAGAGAGAGAGAGAGAGAGAGAGAGAGAGAAGCTCAACGGATAGAGACGGGGTTTCAAACACCCCAGGCTGCTTGGCACTTCGGGAGCCTAGCCTTAGCCCCGATACCTAACAATCCGCTGGCGCAAACTTACTCTGATTGAAATAATCGGGCAGAACGCGGATTTGGTTGTTAGACGAATCCGCTCAGCTCCAAGCAGGTATTTGGCTGCGATTAAGTCTCCAATCGGGCTTCATAAAAGCCCACTTAGTGCTAGAACAAACAGGGCCATTTGAAGGCAAAATGCTGTTTGATTTCCCCTCCGCCTGCACAAGGAGCTGGCTAATGCTATTTGATTTCCCATTTTTTATAGCAATAAGCCCGCATTGATCTAATAGTGAGTGAGTGCAATGCTATTAAAGGTGTTTGCAGCCCCATACCAGAGTGCATTTCCTAACCCAAGCCTCATAACCAAAGAGACGATAAACATTGGGATGCCCTGATTGCCAACAGAAAACAGATGTCTCTGGGTCTGAAGCTGAGCAAATCACTTTACAGTTAAAATCAAGCGCTGATAAAGCATAATAAATTCCATATGGCTCATTTAATACACAACAGCTTCTTGCATTAGAGGGGTTAATGATGAGATCTGTCCCCTCCTTTCTGTTGACACATTTCTCCATTGTCAAACAGAGATGTGACAGCAAATCAGTATTTTCAGCTCAGGGGAACAAGTCGTGGGAAAGTTAAATAACTTTTAAAAAGAAAGAAAGGGTCCCCCCCGACCCCTCCTTTCTCCTTTCCCCCTATTCACTGGAGGAGATGTAATTAAGTGAATATGAATTATTAGAGTCCCTTAGTTTACCTCTGGGTGTACTCAGAGGTATTAATTCAATAATGGAGAATTGCAGTAGGGACATCTCGATAATTGAGGTTGAGCTAGGCAATAAAATCAGATTGGGAAAGATTTTTCACTTTCTTTAAGGACATTTTGTCTCTTCTGGACAACTTTGCTTCCTTTATTCCTTTGATTGCAACAAAGATATTACTGCTATTTTCCTTCAATTAGAAATCACATTCAAAACAGAAAATACCATGCATAAAAATTATCTCTTCCCTCCCCCCCATTCATAGATAAGACTGCATTACTTTGTCTATTTCCTCAAGCTTTTAAGATTTGTGGTTTAAAAAAAAAGATGAAAAACATGTAGAATTTTTCAGATCTTCCTCCTTCACAACACCATTTGAAAAGATCAATCAATTTTGATTGCTGATTTTTCTTATTGATTAATTACAAAGGCTGTTTAAAAGTCAAACTAAACTTAGAATCTGGGGTATTTACAACTTAAGCTCTCAACCTACATTTGACAATCCTGCATGGTTTTGTTTTTTTTTTTGGGTGGGGGAAGGAGAGAGAAACAGAACTCCTGCTTGTTATTTGATATTATTTCTTCATGCAATTTTGTATATACATATTGGAATTGGAATTCCTTAATTTTTTAGACATTTGTCAGGACACAGAAGCCACCAATGATGTTGTTCTATGATTTAACTCTTAAAGCTTTCAAGAGCCCCAGCAGATCTTGGGAATGTGGGTGTACTGAATAGATTACACAAAAAGTCATTTGATGCTATTGGGAATTATTTTTAGAACATTGATAGCTACAGCAAGTATTTCAGGTAAAGATCTCTAATTAGGCTGCTTTCTATTACTAAATAGAAAGGCATTTTATGTTGAGAACATCACAAAATCATACCATCTTTCCTGAATAAAATATATTTAATCTGTATCCTAAAGAAACTAGGAAATACGAATGCTCTAAAGATTTGGAAAAGTGTATACTACTATATTTTGAATACCCATTTACTATAGCTAATATATCTATAAGCTCAGTATATGGTGAACTGAATGTGTTTGTGTATGTAACACATGCATGAGAATTTACAATCATAGTTTGTTTTATAAGCAGCTCATTTCATATGCTATAGACAAGTTGATTAGCTTGCTTTCATTACATGGACATTGCTGAAGTTGAGAATTGTAGTGTTATATAAACCTGGAATAGTTGAAAATAGACACTGGTATGGAATATAATTGTTTCTGCCCATTGTGGACATTCCAAAAATTGCAAATTTATTTTCTTCTTAAACTGGAGAATGAACTAATCTATTCAGAAAAAAAAGTTAACCTGGTAGAATAGTGTTTGTTTACTGTGGTTTCCCTGCTTTCCTGATTTCATAGGGACCCATTTCCATGCCTTTTTTTTCCCTCTCTCCAGATATGGCATAGAACAGTCTTATATTTTTTAAGTCAAAGCACAATATGATTATGAAATCAAGACTAGAGGTAGAAGTGAGGTGGGAGGAAGAAAGAGATAATACCCAGTTCCAAAAGAGAATCTGACGCAGAGAACATATATCTGGCTTAAAGCACCCTTCCAAGCAGGCAGACGAAAGAGTCATTCACCAGAGGTTTATTTTGGGGTTGTAGGTCTGGTTCCAGAACCGACGGGCCAAGTGGAGAAAAAGGGAGAAAGCTGGAGCTCAGACTCACCCTCCAGGTTTGCCTTTTCCTGGTCCTCTCTCAGCAACCCACCCCCTCAGTCCATACCTGGATGCCAGCCCTTTCCCTCCTCATCACCCAGCTCTGGACTCAGCCTGGACTGCTGCTGCAGCTGCAGCTGCTGCTGCCTTTCCCAGTCTACCTCCTCCACCTGGTTCTGCAACTTTGCCACCAAGTGGGACTCCACTAGGCCTCAGCACTTTCCTGGGTGCAGCAGTATTTCGGCATCCAGCCTTCATCAGCCCTGCATTTGGAAGGTAATGTTATTCGGCTTGTGTTTTTAAACACACATTTAAAACATACAAGAAGAAAAAAAAACCTCTCCAGCATCCAAGGGCCTGATAAGAGGTAAGAGGGAATAGAATGATGAAAGAGAAAGGGGAAAGAATGAAAAAAAATACCAAAATAATTTCTAGAAGAGACTTTCTATTCCTTCAGGAAAACAGTCTTACTGAGGGTGATTAAAAATAGCTATGTTTTATGGGCAATAATTGTATTCTCATATAATAATCCTAAGGTATCAACATAGAATAATGCCAATAATGGGTGATGGAGGGGTGAGAGAGCAAAATCCATGTTGGTGATCCCTCCTCTAGATGGGAGGTCATCTAGTTCACCAGCATGGCAGACCAAGAAAGGAACAAGGACTTAGGTTCAAGAGAAGCTGATCTGAGGCTTTGTATGGCTAACACTGAGGTCTGACATTCTCAGTGTCCTAAAGCTGAATCCATCTTGTCACTCCAGTGACTGGCTATTAAAGCTGTATCCCTATATGTTACACCTGAATCAAACAGTGGTACAAGACAAGGAAATAAAAGAAATAATTCATCTTATATTATAGCTCCCTTTCTTTAAATGAACATCAAATGATGAAATAAAAGTCTGTAGTTAATCACACAGACAAAGAAACAAAGGAAGGATGTATTAAGTTGGAAAGTGCAGTGAAAATAAAACTGAATGTAGCTGCAATGATCTCTCTTTAAGAGAACAAAGAAATAATAGATTCATCCAACTGAGCAGCCACTTAGCAAAAAAAAAAAAAATCTCTCATGGAGGGGAAAAACCAAATTCCAAGTAAAATTAGTTTCTTCATACAAACCAATGAAATTAAACAGATTGTACATCAAATTGCAGTCAGTGACTCAATTTACCTAATGGAACAAGTGATGTTACAGTTCTGTCACGCCCCCTGCATGGAGGCATGATTTCACACTTTATCAGCTCTCCCGCAGCATTAATGCACTGCTTCTAGTATTTTCCTCCTGACAACAAATTGAAAAGTGAATTGTAAAAGCTTACTAACAACAGCCTGGATAATGGGCTGTAAGATTAAAATAGGTGGGAGGGGGACAGGGAATAAGGTAAAAGGGGTAAGTTGGAGAGGGAGGAGGAGAACTGGATTTCCTAATACAAAGCAGTATTTTCTGACTCTTTCCTAAGGGCAACTATTCAAGGGTGGAAAACTCAAAGCAAGGTGCCAACAGAACATGGAACAAACCTAGGGCAACATTCAGGAGCGAGGCCAGCCCAAGAACCAGGCATTCTTTGGGGAGTTGGGAAGAGAGTCCAGCTCTGCCTTTGGTTCCTCTCAGTACCAACCCTGGCTTCTACTTTCCATGCCAAGGCAAAGGAGAAGCAGGCGGTGACTGCTCTGTGGTGGCCAATGCCCAGGCTTAACAAGCTGAGGCTTAGTTATAAGGCCCCGATAGCTTTAGAAGGACCATAGTTCAGTTCCTAGCAGTGATGATGTCAATAATCACCTCCTTGGTTAATGGAAAGTCTGTACATCTTCATGTGCCAGTCAAGGGGGTCACTCCCTCTCTTCATGGCTATTGCTCTGGGGAGAAAAGTCAGGCAAACTAGAGGGAAGGGCATTTAAAAGATTGTGTCATTGAGCAGGGATGCTAGGTTTCGGGCTAGTAATTGGCATTCCACTGTGAGGAAATCAACAGGCATACCACCTCCTGCAGGGAATGGGCATCAGGGCTAAGGAGTCGATAGACACACCGGGCACCAGGGACTTCGGAGCCTTCCCAGGAGAAAGCCAACATAGACGTTCATTGGTGGGAAGGAGGAAAAAATAAAAAACAAAAACAAAAACAAAGCAAAACAGAACATAACCCCAAACCGGAATAGAGCTAAGGAGAGAGTTAAGCGTTATCACTGCGCTCTCTCTCTCTCTCTCACTCTCTCTCTCTCTCTCTCTCTCTCTCTCTCTCTCTCTCTCTCTCTCTCTCTCTCCCCCTCCCTCCCTCCTTTTCCTTCCTTCTTTTCTCTTTCCTCTCTTCTCCCTCCCAATCTTCTCTTCTTCTTTCCATCATTTCCTCTCTTTCTCCCGCCTTTCCTCGCTCCCTTTCTCCCCCCTCATTTCTTCTCTTTCTCTTTCCTTTTCTCCCCTGCTCTCTCCTTTATCCCTCTCCTAAATGCTGGATGATCATGAGAAAGCATTTGGCTTTGGAATCTATACCTCTGTTCAGCATAAATCATAGTATCAGCTCTACTCTTGACAGGGTACTCTCCTGAACAAGCCTGTCACTAACAACTTTGATAAAATTAGATTTTAAAAAAATCTTCTGAATGCCAAGTTGAGATTTTGCAACAGGTCTTCTGCCCCCTCAGCACCCGACCGAATTCCCCCACAATACAAAAAAAGTCACATTGTTCACACCTCAAGCTCTGAAAGCATTGAACACGTGTTAAAGGGAGTTCATTAAGAAAAGAAAAAATTAAAAAGAGGGAAAAAAGGATGTATGTATGTGTGTGGCAATACCTAAACTGCGTCGGTTGTTGACCCCAATGTTTACTTTCCTCGCAGGCTTTTTTCCACGATGGCTCCTCTGACTAGTGCTTCCACCGCTGCGGCCCTACTGAGACAGCCCACTCCTGCGGTGGATAGCGGGGTGCAGTCAAGTGCGCTCTCAGACCCCGCCACAGCTGCCGCAGACAGACGGGCTTCAAGCATAGCAGCTCTGAGGCTGAAAGCAAAAGAACACGCCGCTCAGCTGACACAGCTCAATATCCTCCCTGGGAACAGCACAGGGAAAGAGGTGTGTTAAAACCCGACCCAGCACCACCACCGATAATCAAATAAAAGATCACCTCAAATAGCACCAGTCAAGACCAAATGGAAAAAAGAGGACCAGCAAACTAAGACATTGGAGAGGTTCTCGAGTTAGGAACTTGGAGAAAGAAAGCATCCTTTGCTACAGTGCTCTCCTGAGTAAACCAACACTAACAGCTCCTGAATAGCAAATTCCTTGGCTGGTACCTTTTTTCTCCCCTTAAATGTCCAACCTGCTGATTTGTTCTTTCATCTCTCTTAAAATGACGTCACAATGTAAAATATATTTTGAGTCGCCTTCTTACCATGTTTTGTTTTTTCTCCCTGGATTCCACGTATAATATTTAATGTGTGTGCTTTTTAAAGGTTGGATTCTTCCCCTTCCTGTTCTTCCCTCCCCATCTTTTAAAAATCACACCTTGATCTACTGAGTTTTCTCAACCAAGGATGCTTCCGGGGCAGAAAGAGAGTTAATTTGATGCTGTATGATAACCAGTGCACTTATGAGGGAAGGGGTATCTTTTTCTTGTTCTATTCTTTATCATTACACCAACCAAGGTTTTTATATCAAACCAAAGGGAAATACACTGCTAGAATATGGACTGTTTAAGTTACTAAACTGTGATTATTGATTCTGTACATACCATTGTTATAAAAAAAAGAACAGAGCTTTGTATATTTGAAATGTTATAAAACAATTGCACTCAGTGTAGTGTTGTAAAAGTTTGTCCTTCTGTAGATTCTTACTGTGTTGTAGATATGATAGGGTTCCTAGACAAATATTTATGTACACAGACCCTTTATTTAACTTATTAACTGTAGAGGTTCCTGAAACCTTTAAAAAAAAAAAGGCAATGGTACAGTACTTTTGTGTAATGTTGTTCTTGTTCTCACTTTTCCTTGCTATCCAGTGGAGAAGTGCCACACTCAGAAAATAAAAAAATATATATATGTTTAACAAAAGAGAGTGTGAAAAATGCCTTCAGGAACACAGCACTAGGCGAATCACTTTATCGTAGAAGGTAACCAAAGAGTCACTCAGGTGGTGGTGCTAGAGTGGAGGCCTCTCTTCTTTTAACAGAAATTTTAATCTCTTGGGATGTGCCCTAGAAATAATATGTAATTTTTCCTCATGGCATTAGTTGGGCCCATGTATTGGTATTCGCTTATGCATTTTAAAGAAAACGGAGGGTTTTCGCTTGAAACAGAGGGAAGATGTCTTATTGAAGGTACCACTTGCTCTCTTAAGGCTGTACTTAGAAGTGTATACCCAAGAGATGACAGGTAAAAGGGCAGATTGAGAAACCGGGGAGCTCACTTCAGAGAAGGTGTTATGCTTGTGTGTGTATGTGTGTGCGTGCGCGCGCTAGTGAATGTGGATGACTCTAGAAAGAGAGGGAGGGAATTGGGATATACAGGACAGAGGCAGAGAGAGGAAAAAGATGAACGTGTCAGCTCTCTAATGGCATAATTGCGATGCTATCTGGGAAACACTGATCCAAGTAAAGGGGTGTGTGTGTGTGTGTGTGTGTGTGTGTGTGTGTTTGGGAGGGGGCGAAACCAAGGTTTCATAAAAACAGTAGATACTAATCAATTGGCAATCCACAATCCCGCGATGCACTTCTAAGCGAGCAATGGTGTGTGTGTGTGTGTGTTGTGTGTGTGTGTGTGTGTGTGTGTGTGTGTGTGTGTAGAAACGTGTTTGACTTACTATTGGTTACCAATCTATGGCAGCCCCTCTGACAGCGTGGTGCGCCTCTTTAATGATTAGAGGGCGATGGGAAAGGGAAGAAGAGCTTAATTAGTTTCAATTTGTAGTAATTAGCGCACCGGACCTTTGGGGGGGGAGGGGCAAGAAGGAGGTTGGCGTTCCGTGACTAACCTGAGTTGACATCTTCTTTGAGCTTTGGTTAAGTCTTGCCGGGTTACTCTGGTTCCCTGCTTTTATAAGCGCCTGCTTTAACGCGTAGTGGAAATCTGTACCCAACTCCGGCTGGGCAGAGTGTGACTCTAGGGCAAGCTGGGCAAATGACTTCTTTCTCTTTTCTAATCTATATCCTTGAACATTTCATCTGGAGAGGACTGATATGTAGATTTAGGAATGTAGGTTCAAAGTGGAGTGGGCGAAGTTCCCTCTTCCTAGCCTACCCACAAGGTTCTATACTCTGCCCTCAGAGAACCTGCAGAGGTAAGCCTAAGCAGGTAAACTAGTAAACTTTCCCCCGTCCTTCATTAACTACCATCTAAGAATACAGATACTTGCGCTCCTTTAGTCCTGGGATTATTCCTAGGAAAGCGACTAGCTTCGGTTTTGCTGATATGCATTTGGCACCTTGTAATTGAACTTCATTATGAGCTATGAAAATTCAGTGAAAGGGCAGTGGGGCCCTGGAAAGAATGAAAGGTCAAAGAATCATAGAGTGGCTCATAATAGAAAACTGGAGGAAAATGGAGGAGATAGTGCGAGTAGGGAGAGAGAAGAACGTAGGGGGACAGAAGATACTAAGGAGAGAGAAATCATGGGGAGAGAGGAAAAGGGTTAGGGAGAAAGGGAAGGGGAGATAAGCGTGATGACAGAACAAGCAATGAGCAAATGACGGGGCACTGAATGGAGGCCTATATTTCGCTTTAGAGAACCTCGGTACCTTTGGAGTGGGGTGGGAAACGGAATTCTCTGTAGTACGAGTTCCTCGTCCTCTTCTCACCCCTCCCCTCAATTACCGCAGAGATAGGAGGAGCCTAAGGGACCTTAGTACAGGATATCGTGGGGGAAGGAAGTGTTAGTGGAATGCCACTTTCTCTGCCCTTCCAAACTTAAATGTCTGTCTCGGGCATTATCCCATTCCAAGCGAATGACAGAACTGGAGGGGTAAGAGGAGGAGAGAGCAGGCTTCTCTTACCGGCCCTGATACATTGGTGGCTCTTAGTCCTCACATTTCAGAGATCTTCCCTACCCCCACCCCCGGGCGAAAGAAGCCAGCATGTTCATGGGGACTGCAACGGGGTACTCCGTTTTATGATCAATATAAATTTTCCTGGGATTTTGCCTTTTTGTTTAGTCAGGATTCCGCTTCTCTCCTCCTCTTCCCCCCTTCCTTTCTAGGCTGCCAATTGGATGGTATACGAGTAACAGTACCATTCTTCCTGTTAATGAACTCTTTTCTAAGTCATTTTTTCTCATTTGACCCTTCCTTGGAGCAGAGGCAAATTGCGTGAAATTACCTCCAAGGATTACATTTATTACTGGCCAATGAGAGCTCCTCGCCTTGTTTTACAAACTCTTAATCCTATGTCATTCTGATGCTGCAAACAAGCCGGATCCAAGGCCTCTTATTCTTTCAACTTTCTCCAGCTGGAGGGACCTCATTCTGCACTTAATATTCTCCATAAATATCACACGCTAAAGACCCCCTGACTTCCAGCAAGTCCATATTAAACATGTGACATGTCACGCATGACAAACTCTGAGTATCTTTTCAAAGCAGCATTAAAAGCAAAGAAACCAATTTTCTTCTTCTTCCAAACCTCCCCAAGTGCTGAATGATGGGGTTTGGAAAGAGCCACTGGAGCGTACTTAGGGGGATTTTATGAGATTTTCCAGAATGATTTAATCTTATTGTGAGCATTATTAATGAATGGCAACCCAATTTGGCCCTAATATCTGGGAACGCGGTTACAATGCTGGGAGAGCCTGACCCCCTTCCCTCCCAACCCCCAATCTTAAGCAAACCTCCTCCAAGATAGTCTTACAATCGCCAGGAAATATTGCGCCTGGCAGGAGCAGGAGAGAGCCCGGTTCGTCGTAATGCTGTCTTCTTTTACGTCCGAGCAGAATACCTCACCATCTGCTGTCCAGTTTAGAAGCCCCCCAGGGCTGGTGTCCTTGGAATGTCTGGTGAAGGTGGAGAACCAAGTGGAGATAGGTTGGGGGGATAGGTTGGGGAGTATGAGAAGAAGTAGACCGTCACCAAACTCCTATTTTCAAGTTACTTGTTTTAGGGAGGTGGAAAATTGCAAGAAGAAAGGAGCAATTAAGTAACATTTATTATATATGCCCACATGTGTAGACATTTGTATCAATATTCACAGGCATGTGTATATATACACGGGCATATATACACCCACATTTATGTATATGCATGTTCATATATAAACATATACACACACATATAAACCGCCATCAAGGTATATCTTTGTCATGTGCTGCTTTGGCCTTGGCCATGCCAAAGTTGGTTTATAGTGTGAGATGCATTAACCTGCAGGCTAGAGGTGTCCACATATGAGGCATTTGACTGTCTTAGATGAATTAGTGGATGGGGCCTGACAGGGAGAAGAGGAGCTCACCAAGATTCTGAACTCAGTGCCTGTGGAAGGCTGTCTCCTCTACCTTCTACTTTCCCTCTCAATATGCCCCTCCACTAAACAAAATTGTGATCCATTAAAAAATAAAAACATTGAAAATAAGGGAAATGTAGAATCCCTTTTAAACATCACTTGGGGCAGAGAGATCTTTAGAGGGAAAAGTTGACCATGGGAAATTATAAATGGTAAAAATTCACCACTTTTAGAGAGAAAATGTGGTTGTATATATGTGTATCTATGCGCATATATAGATGCGTCTGAATTGGGGTGGGGGGGAGGGTTTGGTGGGCTGAAATGGTGTTTTGGAGAATAGAATTCCCTTAAGTATCTGCATATTTAACTGACAGTAGATTAAACACACACACATACAACTCGCTACCTAGGGAAGCATTTTTCAAAAAGGAAAAGTCATACTGTCCCTGGACGTTATTAACAGTCCAGTTTGAAGTACAAGTACATATTTTTTTTAAACTTTAAAGAAAAGGGAGCGATTACCACTTGCACATTAAGAAATGTCATTCAGTCATTTTTATTCATTCTCCTGAAATCTTCGTAAAAGCCAGAATCATACTTCTACAAGCAGCAATTTTGTTAATCCAGGGGGTTATTACTCTGGTCTCTTATTAGGATCTACACTACTGCCAAGCAATCCTATAACCTTCTCAAAAGAAGTTTACCTCCCTGTTATAAAACCAGTAGTGGTATTTATACTGTGCAATAATTAGTGTATTACTTGAATCCACTAACAGGTTCATTTTATCTCTGCACAAAACCTCTAGTCTGCTTATAGAAAGCCTGTGCCTCCTTTGGTGCCGTTAAAGTGGTGAAAGAGTGAATGAAGGCTGGTAGCACTTTCTCCTTTTGCCTCGCCTTAATTCCCATCTCTTTTTGCTCTCATCCAATTAGTGCAGTGTATTAAGCGGTTTATCATCTCATAGTCAGCTATTGAGAGAAACAAGGCGAACACTTTGCAATGGAGCCTGCTCTCCTTTGACACCCTCAGGTACTTACATATTCCACTGTGCTATGAATAATAGAGGAAGAATAGAGCGCTAATTCCCTCATCAAAGAATGCCTTGTCTGCTGCTTTGCTCAACAACACCATTCTGATCAAAAGAAAAGCAATAAAGCTTAGCATAACAAAACGAAACCTACTTATTAGCTTAGTGGTTAAATTAATGCAGAGCCGCTGCTATTCAAAACCAAGGTTTGAAAACAGCCTCCAACAACCTGATAATGCTGCCTTCGGGATGAAGGAATTTTAATCTGAAATTTGAAGCTGGCTCAGATGAGTTAATC